AGCGCTGGCGTCCGACAAAATTGTGTTTTCCTGGTCAGTCTTATTTAAACAAACGAAAAACTCGGCGCCGCTCACAGCCGTCCAATACCACGACGGCGCTCAGGTAGAGCAAGACTTTTCCTCAGACTTTCATTATGCCAACGAAATGGCCTTACTGGGAGCTTTTTCTCTGGGATGCGCAAGCTGCCTTTGATTTAATAGTCCTTAGAGCCCACAAGTTTGATGTGAAAACAAACGGCGGGAAAAAAAAGTGCTGATCGAGAGCCCCACGCGGCAAACAATATATCCCCCTAGATAGGCAAAGGGTTGAGATAGGAGACGGTTTTGTTTACATCGGATCCTCGGTTACGGATAGACTAATATCAAGAAAGGATGTACCGCCATGAACAAACGGCGAGCAATCTTTTCTGTCGGCTATGGAAGTGCTGGTGGTCTCGCTATGAGGACGGATAGGAAACAATCGTTTAGATACAGAAGAAAATCATCAAGACCGTCTACTACTGTGGGTACGAACAGTGATCTCTATACTCTGCTGACCTGGCGATATTTGTGGCAGACAAGTGATCCCGCCGAGGGACTAAACACCTACAGTTAGTGATCAATGCTAGTTTATGATGTCGTAAACCCTGGAGACAGTTGAACCAGCATTGGTGCTGACCAGTAAATATATATATATCGTTAACTTTCGTGCGTGTGGTTCTTAAACTAGTAGGTCTGGCGCCTCTACCTTTCAAGAGGGTCAGGCAGGTGTCGAAGAATGCTGCATGTGATTTGATCTGAAACTCGGTAGATATGGAGTTCTATTCTGTGAACCAGATACTTCACGCACAGTCAATGAGTTGCCGACTAAACGGATCGTTAGTCAACCGAATTGGCTTTGGATTAGAGTCTTTATTTTTCAAATAAATACATGAAAGCTGTTAATACGGCTTTTTGGCACTATTCACCAGCACCATTAGTCAGGCTAGGGAGCTTGAATACCAAACACAGCATTACATGAAAACATGATATGAAAGCAATGACTGCATGTTGGAGAACGGCCAAGTTTTCAGTAAACCAAACCAAAATATACTGACAACTTGTTAATAGAATCGAGGAGTTTTGTAATTATTTACCGAATTGGCAAGCAATGGGGAAATCAGGGTCGTCTTTTTGCCAAGGCAAACTCATGGCGCCGTAGTCTATTTCTTTGACAAGTAACACTTTTTTTAATAATGAACCCAAGAAAAATGCACAGCTGGCTCAAACTAATATCTAATAGAAACCACCCCCAAGGGAGTTGGTTGCTCGTATATCACTTATGAAATATAAACGTGGGCCTATTGACCGTTTCGAAAACCAAATGAATCGCGCATTCTGGAATTTTAATACCGCTTGGGGGGCAGGTTAAATAATCAGGGGATAAAAGCCTGAACTTAGGACATTCAAAAGCACAAAACCTCTAGAAATCACGTCTCAGTGGTACTATGCAATAAACTAGTTTCCGAGGGCGCAAAACTCCGATAACTGTCTCTTGTTAAACTGTTCTTCGATAAATTGTTGTGCGAATCATCTAACTGCAAACTCTGGAGTATCACGCTTTAAGACTTTTGTCTCATAAAAGAAGGCTGAAGGTGCAACTATAGTTGTAAACTTAATTAGATAAATTTATCAATATGAGTGGGAAAGCAGTTCACCAGAACAGTAAAAGACTTTAAAAAGTTTTTCTTTGTAAATCTGCAGCAGTAAAGTATGGAAATACTAACCTTGCACAGTATATATGTAAAATAAAGGAAAATCCCTAACGCATAAATTGGTAGGATAACTGACAAAATCCCGCCTTTCTTCTGTGGTTTCTCATACTTTAGTTCTTCACCCTTGTAGCGAACTGGAGGCTGCAAAAATTCAGTCAACTGTTTTTCGCCTACCTTTTCCCTATTAGTTCGATATCGATCATCGTTGTTTACATATGGTGGTGGCTCGGGGTCGTGACCCAACATGCGTAGGAAAAATGGTTTGAATACGATTGGAATCATAAAGGCCAAACCAGCACATATTACACCAAAGGTGATGTAAGACTTCGTCCTCAGCGAAGGGTCATACATCGAAACTAAGGAGCGACAACCCAAGGCACGGCGCTCAAAACAGCGTCAAGTAAATGGCGTATTCAAACACGTGGGACTGATACGTAACGTGGTTATTACGGAGGTGTTGTTTAATTTTCAGAATGAAATATAATTCTTTCGGTATTTGTGGTGTTCCATATTGCAACTTTACTACTAAGTTTGGGCAATTGGCAAAACATTTGCCCGTCGAAATTCAGAGACAATAGG